CTGAGAAACTATTTTGTAGATAATAATATGTAAAATGATAACCATTGATAATTTCCTACCATTTTGTCTGTAATTTGCTAAGTGCCCCCTATTATTATGTTATCCTTCTTTTATTCTTTAAAATAAAAAAATAAAAAATAAAAAAAGAAAGTAGTTATGACTATCAGCTTCATTTTACATGAGATAGAACTGAAGCTTCCAGAAGAGCAGCAGTGTCTCAAGATCACTCAGTTAAGAAATGTTGGTGTCTAGAACCCCAATGCTCCATGCCTGGTGCTACACACCTTATCCTGCAGAACCTGACCTGGGGTTTCTCAGCCTTCTCCTCCAGGTGGGTGTGGAGTAGACACCCCTCTCCAAGACAGAAGCAGGGAGCCTTAGAATGAACTGAAGGACTCCACGGTCATTGCCACAGATGCTGGAGAACTCACTTCTCTCAGGATGCTCTCAGGCCAGATGTGCAGTAATCATGCGGCAGCTGGGAAGTGGACTACACACAGAGCCACCCATCCAGGGCCCTTGATCAGCCAGGCCCAAGCCTGCAGACCAGGCCTCCGATCACCATCCATGGCTCTTTCACTGCTTCCCTGATTTGTCAAGAGGAGCCGAGAGAGGCCACCTACTGGGTCACATTACTGTGGTTATGTTTGGATTATAGTCTAGTGGGTTGAACTGTGCTGGTTTAGTTCCCTTTGGTTGGATTTCATTGGGTTGAGTTTCCTTGGCTGATTTTCTCCCACTCTGCTTTGGGCATTCCATGTAGCACTCTCAGCTGTAACTGACAATAACTCAATTTAAACTGGTTAACCCAAAGAAGGAATTATTGACTCACTTTATTAGAAACTCCAGCATCAAGATCTCCAGGGTTAGCTCTCTCCTGTGCATGCACCCTCTCTTACTCTCCTTCTCTTTATGCTATCGTATGCCTTTATTCCCTGCTCTAGGTGGAGGTTCCTTCTCTAAACAGCTGTTCTCAGTGACAGAGGGGACAGCAGAGGGCTGGGAAGGGATGACTAGCAAGGGATGACCCAGACAACTCCACTCTTGCTTTATTCCAGTTTCGTAGCACAGATATTCTGTTTTCTAATGTCCAAGTATTACACCCCTGAGAAGGATTCAGTATATGGAGCAGCTTGGTTCGTGTGCCCACCCCCAAGCAAATCACTGCATTTAAGAGGTGAAGTATTATAAGGAACCTTGCAAAGAGAGGGCACAGAGTAGTCTGGCTGGTGACTGCTCCCCGGGGAGTGGGAAGGGAGCAATCTCCCCACTGGAAGAGGGAGTGTCTTTCACAGAAGGCAAGAGGAGATGTCAGGCAGATGCAGATAGTCAGAGCCTTTATTTCTAGAAAGCGCTGTCACTGGAGCTGGCCTACCTAGTCTGCTCTAGCTGGCAGTATTTTTCATGTGTTTTCTTACCCTGAACTGTAGGGGAGCAGTGGATCAGGCATGGGGATCAGGGATGCCTTCATCACCCAGAACAGACCACCATACAGAGGTGACACTGTATGACTAGACAAGCACCCACCTCTCACTGAGCTTTGGTTTCTGCTCCTGGCCAGTAGGAATGATGATGACCACTAGGAGGAAGATAATGAGGTTAAAAGAGGATCCTGGCTTGGACCTTGGGGAAGTCAAGTGGGCAGTTCCTAGTATAGGCGTGGTACACCAGCTGTAGAAATGAGCTGCAGATGTGGAATGGGGAGTTGCCAGCACAGAGACGGGTTGATGCATTCAACACATTTGCTCTATTTACTGGTGCACCAGGCACTGGTCCAGGCACTGACATACACATATCAGCAAATAAAATAAATACCTGGGCCATGGCACTTGGGTGTGAGGGGACAGAGACACACAGTTAAACAAAAAACATCACTGCATTTAAGAGGTCACAGTCTTCAACCAGATGGATGTTCAGGGTAAGCATCCTGAGTAGGTGATATTTGAGTGGTTTCAAAGAGATGGAGGGAGAGAGGGGACAAGAAAAGAATTAAAATGTGTTTGTACCTGTGGCAACTCTCCATGATGAATCTAATCATTATGTACCGCAAACATGTACTAATAAAAATTTGAAAAAGAAAAGTAAGCAAAGTGTAGTAGTGAGGAACAGGCCACGGAGTGGGTGAGAAGGCCCAAAATAAAATAGGGACTCTCACCTGAGGTCTGCAAACAGAGTTCCACTGCCTAAGAGTGTCCTGAAACTGCGGGCGCACACATATGCATATGCAGCAAAGCTCTTCAAAGCTCAGCCTTGTAGGGCGCTTGGAGAAAGTCTCCTCCCATCCAAGTCTTCCATGTTGCTGCTGGAGTTTGAGGGCGGGAGAGCAAGCTAGCGGCTGGGCTGGGGTGAGAACTTGTGTCTCCCACTTCCTGGCTCTGGACTCAGAGGCTGGCGGCCTCCCACATCACCAGCCTGGAGCCACTTGTCATCACCCATCCCTCTGTCTCCAGCTCTGCCTCAGAGGTGACTGTGGCCTGAGGTGTGGCCCTGGGCCATGGCAGAGCAAAGGCGGATCATGGTAGGCGCAGCACTATTAGATAGAGGATTCTGGGATTTGCCCACCCAGATCAAAGATCATCTTTGGACATGTCAAGGGCTTCTCGCCACAACTTCAAAATCATAGGGGACCAGTCCAGCAAACTAGCATTTCAACTGCGGCTCTGTTGGCATTTCTAAGAGTGACCACAGACCCAATAGCGTCTCCCTCCAGACACTCCAGCCTGGGACGGTGCCTTAACCCACAGTGTGCCCTAGCCAGGGCCTTTGTTCTCAGGGTCCCGAGGAGTATGATCCTCCCTGTTT